AATAAAAAATTTATATCTTTATGTTTGAAGCCTGAAATGTGGCAAAAGGTTGAAAAGTTCAAGGGGGCCGAATACTTTCGCAAGGCACTGTAATGTCTGATTTTTCACAGCCAGTCTCACGTGTCTGCTGTGCCCTTGTCCATGTGATTTTATGGTAATCTTTTCCCTTGACGTGATATAACCCTAAGGCAATTGCAGAGAATTGTGAAAGGCAGACAAAAGAAGTCACCTGCAATGTTTTTCTCTGTTTTCCAGACACACATTGTCTGAACACCAGGCACAGGCTTGACCCCCACTGAGAGCGACTGAGATCTGCCAGCCCCATCCAGCTGCATGAGCTCTTCTTTCCCTGAACCTGGGTTTAGGACAAAATTAAAATTGCTGTCTATTGGCAAATGCAATGCACAAGGAAAGCTTTTGATTCCTGAGGCAGGATATTCTTTGTTGTGGGCAAGGTTGCTATATAATATGCATATTCAATATTCAATAAAAAACATGCCCTAATTAAAAACAAGGCACAGGCTCTCTATGATGCCATAAAGGCATTTATTATTTGCACGAATTTAGACCATGTGCTTTTGCCTGTTGTTTTGTTGTTTCAATGCTTCTAATTCCAAGCTTGGAAAGGCAGAGAAAATAACCACGTATACTGTCAACAGAGCCATGGTACACAGCACAGTGCACGAGCGAGCAAAGACATTACTGGCTTTCAGTACAACTGTTAAATGAAGACTAAAAGCTACAGCCAGAGTGAATGTTATCATTAGCACTTCTGTAGGACTACATGACTCCCTGACTTTTCGTTCTGTTAACAACACATACCAGGCAGGACTCGGCCAAAAGGGACAAGTCTGGGGATTTGCAGGGATTGTAAAGGATTAAGGTGGAATTGAATACAGGTGGCAAATGAAATGATGTTGGTGGTGCAGCACCTCTGAAGGTACAACATGGCAAGGGTTATTGTAATAGGTTGGATATCATTTCTGTGGGTGGTCCTGTATTTTTATTATAGGCATTGACGGACTTTGCTCTTGAGGATCATATCAGTTTCACATAGAATAATAAATCCACTTATTAAAAATTTACAGGTTTGATGGGATTTTATGCCTTTAACCTTAGAAAACTGTTTAGTCGCTTCGGAAGGTAGCAGAGTGCACCAGTGGCTGAGGATCTGGAGACTCTGGAAGGCTGAGGATTTAATAATGAACTTGTATTTATACAGAGCTTTTCCTTGAGAAGGCTGAAAGGCGAGAACTCACTGCATCAATAATAATATAATGGTCCTGAGGAAAGAGTACTAATGATGCAGTAGCCCAAATTTACTGCATAATCTACCTAGAAAAAGAACTGCAGGCCAACAAAATTTTTAAATTTCACAAAGAAATGACTTATTAAAATTGTCATTAGACATTTTTCCCCATTATCAAAGACCTTTATTGAAATTAACACATGGACTGTAGATGAAGATAAAAGGTTATATATATATTATTTTATCTGAAATATTTAATTTTATATTAAGCCATGTCCTACTTTGTTCTACTTTGTTATGAGTCCAAGGCCAAAACAAGCAGTGTAGCAGACAGCTGATGGGTCTGATGATGGATTATCGATTGTATCACCAACCCATTTTCTTACCTCTTTATCCAATGCAGGTCGTGGGGAAGCCAAAGCATATCCCAGCAATCAACAGGCTGGAGGCGAGGGTACAACCTGGACGGTATACCACTCAGTCTGCTTATTGTGAATTAAACTCTGCATTATCAAAGTCATTCAGGAAGTACCCACACCAGAGCCTGTTTTCCCCAAAGCCAAACAATCTACCTCCATGTCTTTGAACAGTGGGAGTGAACCAGAGCACCTGGCAGAAACCCAGGCACACATGGGGAGAACATACAAACTCCACACAAATGGCTCTCCAGGAAATGAACCAGCCCAATGCCAACCACTGCACCGCTGTGCTGGCCT